GGATAAATTAGAAGCATTCATTTTTGTATTATATTCAATTGAAATGTATAGTTAAAATAAAAACGTTGAAACTTTTCATTTTCCAAGTACAAATGGACTCAATGTCAAAGCTTCGAGCAAGAGTTGAAGACAGGATCAGTGCATTACCAGATGCCGTTCTTTGTCACATACTTTCCTTCCTTCCAACAATATATGCTGTCCAGACCACAGTTCTGTCTAGAAGATGGAAGAACTTATGAACTTCTGTTCCCAATCTAGAAATTGACGACCAATATTACGAGGTTAATTTTTCCGAGGCACGTTGATAATGTACTCTTCTCTCGTAACTCATCAGACATTCAAAAGTTCACTCTTTGCTGTAACTCTGTTGGGGATTTCTCTCGTGTTGATGGTTGGATTCGTGCTGCCATTAGGCGTAATGATGTTGAACTTGATCTAGATGTTGGGTCACCTAAAGATGAGATTTTTGAGTTGCCTCAAAGCCTTTTTTCGTGCAAAACACTGATGGATTTGACGCTGATGTCAAATTTTATTATCAAGCCTCCTACATCAGGTTGTTTTCCAAGTCTCAAATCCCTCCGTCTTGATATTAATCATCCACAAAATAACTCAATGGAGAAGCTTTTTTCTTGCTGCCCTGTACTTGAGAGTTTGTTTATCACTGGATCTCATGGAAATGATCGCTTTTGGAATTTCCTCTATCGACCTCAACAGACTCATCTTGGTGATGCCGTTTTAAATTTCATTATCTCGGCGCCTGAACTGAAGACGTTAAGAATATATTGGAATTCGCAAGATGGTTATAAGAAGTGCAGTTTTTTCATTGCTGCTCCAAAGCTTGTAAGATTTGACCTCAACCAGAATGTTTTAACTGATTGTTTTTTGGAGAATGCAAAATCCTTAGTCAATGCTACTATTGATCTCTGGGAACATTCTGCAAATCAAGTTCAGCGCTTTGCCATTCGCTCCACTGCGCTTCTGGCTGGAATTTCCAATGTTAAATATCTGTTTCTTAGATCTCATCGTTTGAAGGTAAGTGTGCCCTAACTTCTTCCTTATACAATATGTTTTTTTTTTTTTTTGAGAAGATACGATAACACTTTATTAAAATAAAAACAAGAATTACAAAATAGTGGATAAGAAATCCACCATGTGGCAAAGCTAGCTAAGACCTCTCAAATAGATCTGATTACAACATAACCTCAACCAAAATCATTTTACGGCTGCTAACATATCCCACACTATATGAGAAAGAGAATAATCTCCGAACTCATTCGAAACTAATGCCCAGAGGGCTGCCGAGTATCTTACTCTACCCCATAGTTCTGCTACCCCCACTCCATTATAATCCTCAAGAACTCTTCTGTTACGCTCCAACCAAATGTTCCAAAAAACTGCTAACATCAAACAGCCCCACAAAGCTTTAGCTTTCCTCCCCTTTCCTAAAGCCTCAAAATTGGTGCTTAGAAGCTCGAAACAACCCTTTGGAATGACCCAACTAACTCTAACTTCTTGAACCAATTTCCACCACAACTGTATTGAGTAAGAGCAATGGAGAAAAATATGATTAACTGTAAAACCCCTCCCCAAATTTAGTTTGTAATTTACTTTGGTTATGGGTTTTGGTTTAAAATATTTTTTTGTGTGAGTTAAATGGTGTGCCTAGTGGGCCCTCTTCCATTTTGGTCCCCTGGCCTCTTTCCTCCTTGTGCCATGTGGCTTCCCACCCATTCTCACTCTCGGATCCCTCTCTTCTCTCCCTCTCAAGCTCTCTCTCTCACGACTCACTCCCTCTCTCTCTCGCATACATCTATCTCTCAGCTCCCTCTTCCCCGAGGTGCCAACCCTCACATACACATCCATACACATCAACCTTCGAACCCCATGACCGAAAGGTGTGGCGCCATGGAAATTGGTGCGAAAGGTTGGAGAACTCGGTGAGTTTCCGACAGTGGTAAGTCCTGAGAATCACCCAAAATTTCTTAAATCGTGCTTTCCGTTGTATTTCTAGTTTTTCTAAGACTTTTCGTAGGAGTTTGGTGCAGGAAACATCCCTGGAACTCAATCCCAGTTTCCAGCGAAGGAATTCGTGACACCCAGGCCATTTTTTGGCCTATCCTGATGTCGACTCAAACCCACCTTGGTATATCCTTGTTCCTTATCTTCATACTTCTTTTTGGTTGTTGAATCATGATTTTTGGTTGTAGTTTGACCCTAAACAGGAGCTCGAAAAGCTCCTGGCCGAATTTCCTGCCTTTTTCTTCCATAGGGTCCGGTGACCCGCAAACCTTTGGCCCAATCCCTTACTCCACCAACTCAGGTCCAAAACCTAAAACCTTTTTTACCCAGCCCAAGCCTTTAGGCTGGGCTGTTGTAATACCCTGAAAACTTAAATATATGAATTATATATTCATAATTATGAATATGTGGAGAAAATCGAAAAAAAATAAATTGATTTATGGTTATGAAAATAGAATTGGGAAATTTTTATAATTTACGAAGTTTAAAGTTTGGAAATTTATTATTTAAAATTCGTAAACATTTTGAGGTCACAATTTATATTTTTGAATAGAGCTCGATTTCATGAACACGTAGGCGCAAACCCTTCATGAAACGGAGTTGTAACGAAGAAGTTATTAACGATTGAATTTAGGGATAAATGGTCATTTAATCAATATCTGGAAGGCTCCAGATTTGCTGGAGCAAGGATCTGAGAAGCCACGTGTGTGGCTATGATGCAAAGGGAAGGAGAGAAAGGGAGAGTCACGGGCCAATCAGAAGGGAAGAAAAGGAGGGAAAAGAGAGAAAGAAAGGGGGAGGAAAAAAAGAAAAGAAAGAAGGGGTGCCAGTATTTTCCCGACCTGACCTGGCAAGAAGGACCGACGTCTTTCGTGGTGTTTTATAGTGAGATTTCCACCACCCATCACTTGGAAACACTTACCCTACCTCCCCTCTCTTAATTACACCAAAAAACATAAGAGTTTTGGAGGTGGTTTGGTGACAAAACATCCGTGGGTGTTGCAGCCACCCTTGTTTGAATTCCACCAATTGTAAAATGTTTCCCTCCAATTACCACCATTACTAGACTTCCCTTAAGGCCTAGAACAAAGCCCAAACAACTGTAGGGGTGGCGGAGCACTGGAGGTGACAATTCGAGGCCACATATGTATAGGGTTTCCGGCGAGTTTGGGCCAAATTGGAGCATTTTCAGGCCAAATTGGACTTGGCCGTAGGTATAAAGTTTGCTCTATTCTTTGAGATCTTCATTTATGTAATTTTTGAGAATTTTTAGAAATAGTTGAATTTTTCCGACGAGTCGGGGCGGCCGATTGCCACTCGCAGCGGCGGGTGCGGCGGCGCACGGCCATGGAGCTAACATTGTGTTTTTATACAAGTTTCGTTATTCTAATTATGCTTTTGAGATCTAACTGTTGTGTTTTGAATATTAATACGATTGTGGTATATGTTGGATTTAAATGAATATATTCGGATTTGGTATTAAAATTTTGGAAATGTGAACTACGAATGGTTTGATCCCTGTTTAGGGTACATAAGCACTCTAATGAGACTTTAGATGTAGCCATAAAATAAGTGAAATTAAATAATCGAGAATTAATATTTAGTTGGAGTCTTGATCTGAGAGAATAAATTGGGAATAAATTGGTAACATAATTGAATAATGGTATGTTTGATAAGAGAATTATGGTTTAGACCATTTTGTGGAATTAAGGAATTAAAAGCAAAGAACCTTAACCTTTGAATAGAAAATTTATCAAGAGTTTAAAGTGGGCCTATCATCAAAATTATTATCCGAAATAAATTAGTCGGGGCGGGGCGTGGCAGCTGCTGAGCCCAAACACTTCCAAGCCCAACCTAATTATCTAACCCAACCCAAAACCCTTAAGAAACCAAACTAGGCCTTTGGGCCTAGAACCCTTCGACCCAACCCAGCAACCCCTTTGACCTAGCCCCTTTGGACCTAATGAAATATTCTTTGGAATATTCCCGTGTTGACCTTTTCGTAATTTACCCGGGACCCTTCTTAGGGTTATTCGACGTCTTGAATCCATTTTTGACGTCTGTTTTCCTAAATTCAATTGTTTGAGTAGAGTTTTATTAATTGGACCCCTTATGTGCTTAGGTGCATATATTGTGACGTTTGCGTCTTCGCTAATTTGCGTGGCTCTTCGGCGGCTAAGTATATGTGAGTGGACCCTTTCTAAAATGCATGTTTTAATAGTAGAAATGCATACATGAAAAGCATGATTTAATGATTACGTTTTATGAGATATTATGCGTACTTAGAATATTTTGGAATATCATATTTTCTATCCAACCCATGTCCTTTGTAGGATATCTGATGGATGACGATATACTATTTAGAACATGTTTTTACACACTTCTTTATAGTATAGATGATGGATGACTTTATACTATGAAGGTGTTTTTGAGATATATGTACCTATATTTGGAAAGACTATATTCACTGTTTTTGTGCGTATCTAATGGTCACTGTTCTGCCTATTTGGCAATGATATTTATATTGGCTTTGACAAGGCGTAGGTTGGGCTTGTTTGGCAATGATATTTATATTGGCTTCGGCCGGGCATAAGTTGGGCCTGTTTGGCAAATGAAGGGTTTTGATTGAATAGATACTGATACTAATACCACTAGTTAGCACTATATACAAGATATGTTTTATGAAGGTTTTATGGCATGCTAGGGTTTCGGAAAACCTATTACATATTATGCTATTGATGTTTTAATAAAACTTTAGGGGTTAGTATGTTGATAACTGTTTCAGTATTTATATTTATCAACTTGGTCCACTCATGTTTGTTTTGCGCCCCCTCAGGATTTATATTATTTATTTTTAGTGTTCTAGTTAGTTGTATGCTCTGAACACGTTCCTAATTTGCATATTAATTATATTTAAATTTATAAGCCTTATTTATTTCTTGTTTTCATGCATTCTAAATGGCTTGCGTCACCTTTGGGTATCGGCCAGTACATACCTACCATGGTATTCGGGGAATATCGGGATCGGGGCGTGTCATTAACATTCTCCTTCTCAGATTTACACAAACTGCACCAATGGGAAGAAATACAAATAAAAGGCCCTCACCTTTGAACTTGATCACAAGTGTTGACCTTCCCAGTAGCCACTAACCACACAAGAACTTTGACCTTCGGAGGAGATTTTGATTTCCAAATCTGAGAAAAGGGTGGAAAATGTTGCATAGTTCCATTGTTGCTCAAGAAAGAGCTATAGGATTTGCAAGTGAACAATCCTGATAAGTCTAGTTTCCATCTTCTGTTATCCGCTCTTGATTGAATTAAACAAACACTTTCCACCTTCTGTAATAACCTAGCTGCCTTTGCTATGTCCAACTCATTCAAATTTCTTCTGAAGTCAAAATTCTAGCTCAAAGAATGAAGAGAAAAATCCACAAAACTTGAAATGCTCTGGTTGTGCATTCTCGATAACAAGAATAATCTAGGATATTGCTGATAGAAATTGTTTATTAACAGGATCGGGAAACGGATGTCGTTGGACTATCGATCACAATACGGAGTGAAGGATATGAACAAAGTGAATATAGAATTGAATGTTCTTTCTGACAGAAGGGGATTTACAAATATATAGATATGCAAGTAACCTTTCTGGAGAAGTTGTGTTCTTCAGGAGAAGTTATAACTTCTCAGGTTGGAATATAACTGTTCATATCCTTTAATTAATTAATTAATTAATTATATTATTTCCTTTATTAATTAATTAACTTATTTCACTACAATCATATGTATATCAGTACACCAATGTTATGGTGTACCTTCACACATGATTACACATATTGTGAAAACCATGTTATCATAATCATATTCCAACATCTCCCACTTGATTATGATGACATAAATGGTTTCCTATTCTGATTTGTTTCTCAAGAGTATTACTCATAGACAAATTGAATGTAACATCAGATATGTGGCTTCTTTACCTGGTGCGCACCATTCCACTTAATCTAATAACATTTTACTCTTTAGTAAAATGGCATCATATCCAAGTAACTAGGAAAAACAATCCATACCCGGTTACAAATGATGACTTAGCCCCGCATTATACGCCGCAGTGTTATATAAATTATTTCTTGAAGCTTATTATGGATTTTACTTTCAAGACGATTTATTATAACCTGGTTACCTCGCTAGTGCCCTCTATCTTTAACCGACCAAGTACTAAAGAACCAGATAGAGTCGCATCTACTTGTCCATGTTTCAGGCGTCCCTAAAACCATACAACGATGCCCGTCGCACGTCTCACACTATAACACATCTAGATGTTTTGCAAACCCATTGTAGTCACATGCTCTCTGAATTTTTCCAGAGACAATCCCTTGGTCATCGGATCGGCCACCATCTCTTCGGAAGGTATGTAGTCGACCTCTACCTCTCATTTCTCCACTATATCTTGTACATAGTGATATTTAACATCAATGTGTTTTCCTTTGGAACTATTTGCTCCACTCTTTATCAGAAAAATGGCGGACTTATTATCACAAAACACATTGACGTGCTCCTTAGGTATACCTATATTTAAATTATCGATACATCGTTTAGCCCATACTGCAGTACTAACCGCTGTGCTACAAGATATATATTCTGCTTCCATGGTAGACTTTGCAACACAGCTTTGTTTCTTACTTAACCAAGAAACAGCCGTTCCTCCAAACAAGACAATGTTACCACTTGTTGACTTTCTGTCATCCAAGTCGCCTGCGAAATCTGCATCGCAATAACAAACTAAATCTAGATCATTTAATCCGAAACATAGTTTCATACCTTGGGTGCCTTTTAGATATCTAATAATTCTCTTTACTGCCGTCCAATGTTGCTTTCCGGGGTTGGATTGATATCTACTTACCAATCCAACTGCATGACATATGTCAGGTCTTATGCTGGTCATAGCATACATCAAACTTCCAACTGCTTGGGCATATGGAACATTTTGCATATCAATGTCTTGCTTATGTACCAGACACATATTTTTGGAAAGCATCATTCCTTTACAAACAGGTGTACTAACTGGCTTGCAATCTTGCATATTAAATCTTTTAAATATTTTATCCAGATAATTTTGTTGATCCAAATAGAGTGTTTTGGCATCTCTATCCCTAGTAATTTTAATTCCTAGAACATAAGATGCTTCTCCCATATCTTTCATTTCAAATTTGGATCCCAGATATGACTTAGTCTTTTCAATCATATCTATAGAGTTACCTGC